TGATCCCTTTGGAGGCTCTAAAGGAGAATCTGTTCTGTGCTTCTACTAGTTTCCATAGCTCTAGGTATTTCTTGACTTGCCACTTGCAGAGATGGCATGTGGCCATGTCTGACCTGCAGCTGCAGAATTGGAGAAGGCGAATCCACCTCCATATCTGCCCAGGAGGGATTCCTATGAGGCAGAGGTCAGACATGCCTCCCCTCTCCAACTTCCTTTCGTCTATTCTGACACCTGGGTGTGATACTCCATTGCAATGGCCACACAGAACCCAGACAATATTCATGATTGTGGGCGGGGTTTATTAGGGAAGCTAACAGGTTACAAAATGATAAGGATACAGCTCTGGTTCTCAGTGCCTCTTCTCAGCCATGCCGGAAAGTGTCTCTCTCTGGTCCATAGCCTCTCAGCCAAGTGGTCCCTTGGCCCCTCCCTGTTCAGGCAGATAAAAAGCTGCTTTAGTGTTGACAGATTCCCAAAGGGCACCCTCATTCTACAAGCCGGCCTCCTGCCAAAGGTGCTCAGTGTCACTCCTTCTCCCAGCCACTTTGCCTCATGGTCTCCATGCTACTCCTCCTCTGCTGCCTCTTCTTGCAGGCATCTAAGGTATGCTTCTCTCCTGGTTCTTGTTGGTCATAGGATTCTCGTTCTTCTGAGCTCGCTCACCGTTTGCAGTGGGATGGCAGAACTAATCTCACACAGTTTTACCCACCCAATTGACTTGGTTGGCCTCACCTCATCATTTGGTGGAAATGACAAAGACTACAGATAGACGAATCATATCAAGTACTTGCACTTTACTGCTCAGGTCCTGGGTCACTTGATAGCATTTCCTTCCTTCCAGCCTCCTTTCCTTTCTTTTTAATAGTTCAAGGTCTATTTCTTGGCCTTTATGAGTGTTTTCCAGTTGAGTCTGATGGGGTGCCACATTCTGTTTCCAAAATCTATTTTTGGTATTCCCTGGGGATTTCATCACTCGGCTCCCCTTGCTGCTCTGTAGCATGCCCTTAGTGTTTCGCCCCAGCGTGATGGGGTCAGATTGTGCACAATTCCCGCACTGTATCTCCAGTATTGTCCCCGCAGCACTATGGTTTAGTGAGGGACGTTGTGTCACATGGTGGGGCCAGCCCTATGGTCGGTCCTCTCTGTGCATTGCCATTCCTTTTTTTTATAAGGGCACCATTATGATTGGATTATAGCCTCGCGTTGACTGATAAGATTGATCTTCAAAGTCCCTATTCTCAAATAAGGTCATGTTCACAAATCCTCAGGGTTAGGACTTTGCCATGTCCTTTTGGGAAATAAAATTCAATCCTCAATATATGGTTACGGTTTGCAACAGTTTAACCCCTTAGAGTCTTTTGCGTGTTTTTTTTTTTTTTCCCTTTTGAAAAGCTGTTGCCTAACTGTACTATATGACTTCCATTTGGCAGCAGGGCTGGATTCTGCATGAGGAGTTTGGGCCCCTAGAACCATTCTCCACTGCAAACAGAGTGAGTGATCTCAGAGTGAATATTTATTTTTACCTATGAATAAGGAGTTGGGCTAAGCACTGAAGGGACTACGAGGGGACTTCCAAAAGTTCATGGAAAAATGGAATTAAAAAATAATGAGATTTTCCCACAAACTTTCTGAAGCCCTTTTGTATATGGCTTCTGCCTTTAAGAGTTTCAGTCCCTTTGAGTATAATGTTCTTAAAAGGCAGAGACTTCTTGTTAAACTAATAATAACCCTAGCTATCCTTTGGTTCCTGTTACTCTTGTGAACACTTCACACACTAGCCCGTTCAAACCTCTTGACAATCCCGTGGGGCAGGTACTATCTTTGTCTTACTTTATGTAGAGGATGCAGGTTCAGAGAACCTAAGAGCATATAACTGATGAGAGGTGGAGCTGCTTAGAGAGAGACAGGTACAATAGGGGAGTTCTGAGGGGAAAGAAGAGGGGAGGGCTCTCTTGTGGAGGAGGGCCATCAGTCGGAAGACCAGGAAAGCCTTCAGAAAGAGATCACATTTGAATTGAGACTGAGGAGTTGTCTCAGTCATCGCGTGCTGCTGTGACAAGTATCACAAGTGGGCGGCTCTAACAAGCAAATGTTCTCACAGTTTAGGAGGCTGGACGTCCAACTTGCGAGCATTGGTTCTCTCAGAAGACTTGCTCTCTGCCAGCTCTGAGGGAAGGTCCTGATCTCTTTAGCTTGTTTCCTGGCTCCTTGGATATTACCATGTGGCTTAGCATCACCCCCCTCACCTCTGCCCTTGTTTAATCTCCTGTATTTCAAAAGAGATTACATCCAAGTATGCCCCACACTACTCCTGCCTCATTACCATAACACAGACAACCCATTCCCAAATGGCATTACAGACACAGGCAGAGAGGTTAGTATTTACAACATGGGCTTTTGTGGGACAAAATTCAATCCATCACAAAGGCAGATGGAATTTTGAGAGTGGAATGGTGGGGCAGACTTTGGAGGGCTGGGAATGGTGGGCAGCATGTGGGGCCTGCTGTGGGATTCCTTCAGTTCCCTTTGCTGTGCTGCCGCTTCACTGCGAGTGCAGTCAGCTGTGACTCACAGATGGCCTGGAGAAACATGCGGCTCTCACATGACAGAAATGTGATGGCAGGCGGGAAGTTAAGCTCTTAGTTGACTTTGGAATCTCCCAAGGGAGGGGATCAGCAGCACTGGAGCTGTGGCCGGAGGGGGCTTTGCTGGAGGAGGTGGGCCTTGAAGAATGGATAGGATTTTGAGAGGACATTCAGATGAGAGGAAGAATAGTGTCAGAAACAAGACCCTGAGGATGAGCTGCTGCTGTGCAGAGTCCGAAGGGGTCTCTGGGTCAAGATTTGCAGGATCTTCCACTCAGAGAGGCTGGTAAGCCAGGGCAGGTGGCACACTGAGGAGTCTAGAAGATTCTATCAAACTACAGAACAAAGAACAGTTGAGCAACTCCCTTTGCGAGGATGTGCCCAGGCTCCAGCTGGAGATGGAACTTGCTGCCCCGAGAAAGTGAGGAATGGGCTTCCTTGCTGGGCACTGAACAGGCAGGCTAGCCAGCAGCTTTGGAAGGAGAGGAGAAAGCTACTACGTCTTATAGCCCTAGGAAGACACCTCTCACCCCTTCTTCCAGCAACTTGGGGGGGTACTGTCACTTCAGGGACAATAGCTTGTTAATTACTTTGCTTATTCAGTCAGTCTGCACATAATTTCTGAGGGCAGCCACTATGCTCAACTTGTAAACAACACCAGCAAAGCGTCCCTGTCCCTTTCAGCTCTGCCCACTGGGCCTTATCTATTAACTTTGTGATGTCACAGCCCAAGGCGGTCAGGTTTCTAGAGGGATGTATCTTTCCAAGAGCCCTGGTAGTGCAGTGGTTAAGCACCCAGTCGGCTCTTTGAACCCACCCGCCAATCTGTGGGAGAAAGCCCTGCTGTGCTTGCCTGTTTCCGTAAATATTGCAGCCTTGACAGCCCTGTGGGCAGTTCTCTGGCCTGTAGGAGTTGCTGTGAGTCAGCATCAACCAGATGGCAGTGGGTCAGGTTTTCGTTGTAGCATTTTTCTTTCTTATAGTAAGAACAAATTGTTCATACTATTTTTGTTGAGGATATGCATAGCAGAACACCAGTTCAGCAGCTTCCACATGTACGATTCACTCACGTTGACCATGTCCTTCAAGTTGTGCAGCCATTCTCACCTCCTTTTTCTCCCTCCCAGTCCCGGAAACTCACTCCCCCCGCCCCCAGGTTCCCACCTGATCTTTGGGGATACTGTTGTCAACCTGATCCCATGTAGTTCAAGCCTGACATTTTGGGGTTTGCTTCATTTTGTTTTACTTTCTTTGATTTTATTTTTAATTTTCCTGACAGATAAAGCCACAGACCCAAGCATGTTGGAGCAGGACTGGTTGGCTATCCAGAATTTCTGTGAGCAGGTGAACACCGATCCCACCGGGTAAGGCGGCTTTCACACACAGGCTTCCCTGCTAGGCGTGTGCGTCAGTGTCTCGGGACTGTTTCCCGCAGTTAGGCACACCTCTTTGTGTGTTTCTCCCCCACAGTCTGTTGAGAAAATCACTTTATTATTCTAAAAACAGCAAATTTCATGGTATTAAAAAACAGAATGGCAACTATTTAAAACTATGAGGAGTGTCATAAAATTTGGGATAACTCTGCATGTTACCAACAGAAATCAGCTAGGAAAGAAGACCCTGTGTTCTGTTGTTTCACTGTAATATCCTGGTGGTGTAGCAACACCAGGGAGCGGGGAAGGTGTTGGATTGTCCGTTTCTGAAGCATGCTGGTCAGAAAAGGGACTGAGATAGGAGTATAAAGCCAGTCATCCAGATGTTTCATGTGCTTACTGCTGAATAGCTCCTGTTTTGAAAAGAGATCCCAGTTTCTACTGAAGTGTCTACTGGGCATTTATCATAAGACCCACATGGCCTGTGTTCAGGCTCTATTACTTGGGGAACTGGGCCTGACTATCCAACCTGGAGTTTGAGGGCTTGATTGGCTGAATGGAGGATGATGTGCAATGGAAAGGAGGAGGATGTATTGGATCAGGTTTACTTGGGAAACAAATCCAGTGACGCCCATCTATGTGTAAGAAAGAGCCTATATCAAGAAATAATTAAATATCAAGAAATTGTCCCACAGGAGGAAAGTAAAAGAAAATAGAGGAGAGAACTAGTAGGCAAAAGACATTTATAGAGGTATAAACATAGACATGTACATATGTAAAAATATTACTATATAACAATAGGGATACAGGTCTATGTACATGTATTTATAGGTTAAGTATTAAGGTGGCAGATGGACATTGGGCCTCTACTCAAGT